CATCTCCCCTGCCAGTTAATGGGGAACTTTGCCTGCCTGTGCTTAGGCAATATTTTTATGTTATTTCAACAGCTGTAAGAATCAAAAGTCTAATCTTCTGAAGGAAAAAAAAAAAAAAAAAAAAAAAAAAAAAAAAAAAAAGAAGATAAGATGTTGTTTCTAACACCAACTCCTGTCCCACCAACTAAGCTGTGGATGGGTGTCACTTGAAAGAATGAAGGGATAAGAATAGAACCCAAGAGTTATTTTTCATATCAAGCCCACTCATGGTGAGGCTTTTGCTGCTTTTCATGTGTAAGGAGCCAGTCATGCCTTTTGTAGGAGGTAGGAAAAACTTGCGCCCTGATATGCATTATTTCCATTTCCAGCAGTAGCTCTGAAATTCCAGAGTCTAATCCCAGTATTTTCTCATTAGGAAAAACGATACAGAGGCAGCTGGTGTACCATAACCTGCTCACAAACACTTGCAGGTTTGTTCATGAAAATGTCATTTCCCTTCTTGTCAGACACCTGGTGCTTGGAGATCCAGATTCTCTTGTGGGATAAAGGCCTTCTTGCTGGGGGAGAGCTATTGCATAGATCAAATGAGGTTCTGGGGGAGTCACAGAACACCAGCTGTTAGCTGCTTGTAAGCATGAAGTGCGTTGGAGTACAGTTTAATGTTTGCTGTGGATCAGGCAATTGTAGCTCAAATGAGATATTTTCTTACATTTCTAAAAAAATGAAAGTAAATATTGGATTATGTAACATGTAAACCCAGTTCCCTAAGGGCCTAACCCAGTACTGGCAGTTCTTTACTTCAGTTTTACGTTTCTGACCATTCACAAGATGTTTATATGCATAACGTTCTAAACTGTTTTTCTAGCATTTGGGGATTATCAGAGAAGTAATACCTGTGGCTGGAGCCACAGATATTCAATATTATGATGATAAGCATTAGTATTCAAAAATTCTGAGATGAAGAAAGAGACTGGAGATGATGTTGAGAATAATCTGCTCACAAATATTGAAGAATTATTGATTTATCTTATTCATTTATTTATTGGTATGAAAAGAGTCCATCTGAGTAATCTTCACTGATGGTGCTACTTTGGCAATTATGTGTCAAAACATGGACTGACCCCATGCCTTAGTACTCCAAAGAAAGCTGGGGGTGGGATGTGGCAGGAACTGGGATAAAAACAGAACAAGGGGAAAGAGAAGGGCAGCAATAAATTAGGATGCAGAGGAAAGAGGCTGGGGTTTTGAAATGGATGAATACAGAAAGGGAGAGATGTGGGGTGGACAGGATGCATTATTCTGGCTTCTATAGTAACATAAGCCACAGCTTTCAGAACTACTGTCCCCCTGCTTGCAGAAGTAGGAAACACAGAACTTTGAACGATGCTGAGAAGGTATCTTTCTGAAGTGATCAGAAATGAATGATGCTGAGCTGGGGTGAGAAGAGAGACAGGCCCACAGCCCAGGTCTGAACAATTTCTCAGGATGTTCTGGTAAAACCCAGGGATGAAAGAGGGGATCTTGAGTGAAATGCTAGGTGAAGAAATACCAGCGGTGCCCTTTGTACCTTGAAGGCATTACAGGAGTCAAGAGATGCTGCTCAGAAAGACAGACCTAAAATATGAAAGAAACCTCACAAAGTAGGTCCCTAGAGTATTTGAATTACAGCCCTGCCTCTGCTACAGTATCGCTCAGTAGTGGTTTCTTTTTCATTATATTTTGTCACAGTGCTGGCTAATTTTTCACTTTCTGCTTTCTGGCTCCGCTTCTGCATTTTGTTCTGTTCAAATCCCAGGGCTCAGTTCTTCCTTGACATTGGGATGGATGAGGGAAAGCCGGGAGTCACTTGGCTTTGCCTGCAGGGTGTCCTGCTGGACCTGGCACTGTGCCTGATGTAAACAGAAGGATCCCCAGCTCGGCAACTCTCTTCTGGTCCCTGTCTGCTCTGTTAAGCCCCAGAGCTCTCCTCCTGAGCTACCTGTGTAACCCAAGCCTGAGTAACAGGGGATGGTTACAAAACATGTTGTTTGTACATCTCAACTGCCTTGATAGCGGGGTGCTGAAAAGTAATTGTTCTATAGCAGTTTCTTCTGATGTATTAATGATTACAGTATTCATCAATGTAATTGCCAGTTAAAATTGCACTTTGTACCAAATCTCCAGGGGCTCCTCTTGAATTTGCCAAGTAAGTGTGAGACATTCATTCTTTTTTTTTTTTTAATATATTTTCTGTCAATGACGTTGTTATAGGCAGTGTGGGTAGCTACAGCTGCCTAACCATTTCTGATCCTCTTTCCCTATTGGAGTAAATGTACAAGTAGTGACATGGCAATGGATTTGGTAAAAAAAATTGCAGAATGATGTTTTTACTACATGAGTCAACTGCTATGAACCCTATACTATGGCCCCACCACCATGGACTTCATTTGAGCTACTTCAGACTCCAGTAGCCAAACATTAGATTGTAATAATCCTGTAGAAAATCAGTAGGTTTACCAGGCAAAAAGTGCTGAATTTAATACTTTTTTTTAATCCCGATAAAAGGGATTACAGAAGAAAAGATGCTAACTATGACTGACTACTATGCTGAGAAGAACAAGTTAAAAGGGCATGATCTCTTGTGCTTGCCTCAACAATCATTGAATAAAAGTTATTTTCCAATTGTGTGGGTAAGCAGAGAATAATTTAGGCTTTCTGAAAGACATCGTTGCTCAGGGAGAGAAAGAAGAGATGTCGACCTTTGTGTGAAACAGCATAATGCTCATTTCCTCAACTCACCTCCAGATGAATAATTGACACATCCATCTAGCCACCAGGGGAAATAGATCACTTCATCCTTGAGAAACTTGGAAGCACTTGATTACTCATGAGTTTCATACTGAACTAATAGATTGGATACCCCTGCCCATGTATATAGTTAAACCCTCAGACTTCTTGAGGGTTCTGGAGAGGAGAAAAGGGATGAAGGGGAGAGGAAACACAGTGACTGTACAGTCCACGACTGATGGTCAGTAAAATCTAAATGGTGTATAGGTTATATCTTCTTCAGAAGATAATGGTATATTTTGCAGCCTTTTAGAAAATCATTTGCATAAAGACATACTTGAAGTGAACTTCAAAAATCTAACCCCTTTTCAGAATATGACTGAAAAGAAGGAAGAGATTTGGTTTGGTATGTCAACATTTCAAATTTAAAAAAAAAAAAGCAGAAGCAGTCTTTTGTCACTACTGGGGATTAGCAATTTAAATAGTTCAATCTTTAATCCAGGAAACTAGTAAAATGAGGCCAATTAACATTTGCAGGACACTTAAAATATTTAAAGTGGTAAAGGGCATGTTTCCAAAGGCATTCATACCTCTACTAAATGTGTTCTTTTCTTTTTTTTTTTTCCCTAGATGGCTTATATTTTTAATGCTTATGCTATGTGCTCTCAAAGGTTGAGTAAGAGTTTATTTACTGTGATGTAGAGAGGACTGCTGGGTGATTTTCTTCATCACAATGCACTTTAGTGCCACTAATAACCAATTTCTGAATTCCTGATATTAACATTCTGCGCACTGAAACCTGTGTCGATAGGACAAGAATGGTACATTCTCTATGTAGCTCGTGGATAAGCAAAAGCACAGAGATGAGTAGTAGGATTTTTTATCAAAATGATTACACTTTGATTGTAGTTACCTAAATATCATCTTCTTATCATATGGATTTGATTGCAGGATGGTAAGACTAAAAAGTACAGTCAGGCCTTCCCATAAAATTCTCATGGTAAAGAAACAGACTGAACTAGATTGAGCATGTACTGAGAAACATGAATGACTTGAGGAGAACAAAATCACTACAGGGGACAGAGTTGAGTGAGATATGTCTCCATATAAATTACATTTGACTTTGTGACAACACAATTTCCAGATTAGCAGCTGGCACATTTGTTCACTGGCATAATTAAAAACGTCTTCTCATTGTACCATATTAATGCTTCAGTGTACTTTCAAGTGAGACAATTTAGCTCTTGTACTTGATGACAAGTGAACACTGAGGTTTTTGTTTCTTTGCTTTCTTTGTGTTGAAGTGTTGAAAGCAATCTGAAATAATACATGTATTCTTTAAATATAACTTAAACCAAACTCAATATTTTTTTCTGTACTTTTTTCGAAGAAGATAGTTATTTGGAAAAATCTTGTTTATTAAAAGCATTTCCTTCTCCCCATGGAAACAAGAAGAAAACAGTGGAGAAGAAGACTTGAAACATAAATTTCAATCAAATGTAAAGTAAAAAAAGTAAACTAAACAAAAAACAATGAGAGAAAGAAAAAAAAAGAAAGAAACAATAAGCGTATTCCTGTCCAAGTAAAATTATGCCTTATCTGGGACAAAACAGCTGAAAAATAAGGAGAAATTTAATCTTTATGATAACGCTCCTTTAGGCTTACTGTGTTGTTCCTGAACTCTCTATCTTTTAATGCAATGTGATTGTGGCTTTTAATGTATTTGTTGTTGTTTTTGTTGTTGTTGCTGTTTTCTTTTAATGGCTAAGAAGTAAGAATGAAGGGTTGGAACTGGCTCTCATACACAAAAAAGCACTCCCTGTTGAAGAAACCCCTTGATTTTTATATTTTCTTCCTTTGCTGTTCCAAAATAAAACCTAAAAATGTATGTCTCAAAATCAGTCATTTTAGTTTTTGCATTATTTAGGTTCACTGTTATTCATTCAGTGGTACATTAGTGGGGAGCATCTCTTGCTATCTTGCCTCTGCCTCTGTTCTGTCCAGCCAGTGCAGCCAGTAAGAGCCTGTTTTGCTTTACACGTTCTATCTTCACAGTCTCTTTTGTCCTTAAAACCTAAGAGGGGATGAGGAGTCCATCTTCTGAGGCTCTAAGATTTGCCCTTGATCCTTCAAAGTATAAATATGGGGCTTTGAATAAAATCTGTATATTTCTAACAAGCGCTTTTTTTTTTCTTTTTTTTTTTTTCTTTTTCTTTTTTTCCCTCCAATTTTAGGCTTACTTTAACCTTATCATGTCCCATGGACTTGAAGAATTTTCCTATGGATGTACAGACATGCACAATGCAGCTAGAGAGCTGTGAGTGTCCGATTGCTTTGCCTAGTAAAAACAAAACAAAACAAGTTTTACCATAATTTTGGCGGTTTGATAGTATTTACATTGCTATATTTGTGTGGTCAGAATCAATATTCCTCTTTTGTAAGGGGTACTCCTGGAGAAAAAGTATTTTAACTAAAGTGTTGTTCCTTACTCCATGCTGTTCCAGCTCCTTTCTTTATTCTCCCACCTATCCAATCAGGGCTGTGTCACTTCCAGGAATAACCACAGCAGTGCCATACCTGAGAAAACGAATCTCAAGAAAGTAAGAACAAGTAGGTCACAGCCAGGGATGTTATGTTTGATCAAGACGAGTCACGGTCTTTTGAAAAAAGATTTCACAGAATCATAGAATGATTGGAAGAGATCTTTGCGTTCATCTGGTACAACCCAGAGCAGGATGCCAGGCCCTTGTCCAGGTGGCTTTTGGAAATCTCCAAGGAGACTTCAGTGTCTCTCTGGGAAGCCTGTGTTAGTGCTCCATCATCTCCAACACAGAAATGCTGCCTGGTGTCTAGGGGGAACCTCATGCATGCCAACATATGCCCACTGCCTCTTGTCCTTTGCACAGACAGTATGTGTCAAACCACCTTGTTTTTTGAATTTTTATTTTGGTTTTGTTTTGTTTTGTGGGGAAGAAATAATGGGTTTATCTACATAAGTATGAGCTGCAAGTCAAGGTTACTACTTGTATTTGAGGCTGCAGCTTGGACACAGATTGTTTAGTTTCCTCTTAGCTGTGTGGTAACTGCAGTTGCAAAGATACTTCAGAAAGTCCAAGCTTCTCTCTACAGCTTCACACCTCTCTGGTACATCACAGGTTTACAAAACCTGCACTATCACCTATTCTAGAAATCCTGGTTTTGTTCTGCCCAACAACTATATAGTCAAAGAATGATAAAAAGTAAGCAAAATGCTGGCTGATACATAGGCAAAGAAAAATGCTAACTCATTTGTAAATAGTATCTTTCATGGGTCATAAATATTATTTTTAGTGGCAAACCAAGACACTATTTCAGAAGTTACTTATTTGTTGCTCTTAACATAGCAGTAATGCAATATTAGTAACAAGCAACTAATTGCAATTGTGCTGTAGTTAATCAGAAGGCTTAAAATTATAGCTAACCTTTACTGGAATAACTGACATATTTGTAGGCCATAGTAATACTTGCCTTCAAGGTTTTCATTACTATGTAATGAATCTGATTTCTTTGTTGTAGTTGGCTACACCATGAATGATCTGATTTTCGAGTGGCTGAGTGATGGACCTGTGCAAGTTGCAGAAGGTTTAACCTTGCCACAGTTTATTTTGAAAGAAGATAAAGAACTTGGTTATTGCACAAAACATTACAACACTGGTAAGCATTATTCTGTTGTTGTTTAGTTTTTTGTTTGTTTTTTTTCTCTGTGAACCGGGAAAAGAGGGGTAAAATTAAAACAACAACAACAACAACATCTATTTTTAAATTAAAATTGGATTCAGCCACAAATATTTTAAATCTGAAAAATATATCCTTTTTATTTTCATTTGCTTGAATGGTTTTTGTTTTTCTCCCCAAATTTCCTTAAACATCATTAAGGATACTCTAATAAACATGCTCTAATATTCTAAAATCTTTAAAATCATTATGGTTTTAGAGTCTTAAAAGTGTAAAAATCTTGTCAGTCCGATTTCCTCAAAATGAAGATTTTAGAACAAACTAAATATCCTCTTAAATATTGATAAATCAGTTTTAAAGTAGTAATTTTTGAGCTTGATTTATTTTTTCATTATATTAAAATGCCAGTGAGGAAAAATATCAACTTTTCACCAACTTTTGTATGAGGTTTAACTTCAGAGATGTAGTATTTGAAATGGCAATGCTTTCACTGCTGATCTGAATAGAGTGCAAACAGAAAATGTTGGAAAGTTGTTTAATAACCTTGTTTTCCTACTTTACTTTCTGAAAAGTTTCAAGTGTGTTTTCTTTCTGTAGCTATACTAGCAGGGAGAGGTCTGTTAAATTTGGACTTATCTGCTTGGAGTATAATTAATAAGGACAGAGAACAGTTTGCTGGATGCTTCCTAGGATTAGATATAATCCCTGTCATCTAAAATCTTTTTTTTTTTTTTCATTATTTCAGCATAAGGGCCAGTCCACTTGCATCAAAGACATTTGTTTCACTCTGTGAAATAAAACAACATGAGATGTTCTTCTCCTGTCCAAAATGAAGTCACATTCCTTTCTCATGAAGAGAAAATTACTTTTGTTATTAATGCAACTTCTCATTTGGGATCCCAAAGTGTCAGCAGAGGATTTTTTTTTTTGGTTCCACAGTCCAAAATACGTGGAAATCAGGAGTGTTATTACTACTTTATTTTTTTTCTCAAATTTTAAAGGGATAATTGGGAGTAAATTCCAATCAACATAATTCAAGTACTTGCAATGTGGCCATTGCAAAGTTCAGCTGTCTCCTGCCACATGATTCAAGCTCTGAATAAATGTATTAATCTGCTTTTCTAGCTGCTGACTCCCAGGTAGCCATTTTGCAGTGTGAAGTAAGAGAGAAAGGAGAGCATGTGCAATTGTTTTCTTATGTACTCATTGAGATTCCCCACGGACGATAAAAATGTCAGTTAGTAGCTCCCACTTTGTGTATTTGAACAAAATATGTGAATAATTAACTAAATCTTGAAGAATGTACCCTGAAAAAGGGAAATGAAGAGCAGGATTCAGACGAAATAAAATTTCACCTCCGTGTGTTTATTGCTGTCTTTTCTGAGGTATGCTCCTTCAGGTTTGGGGTGAAATCAAAATATAGATGAAAGCTACGTTATTCAGCCTTCTCATCCCACCCATGCTGCAAGGAGCTCTGCCCAGGTTATGCCATTGGAATGTGGAGAGTGTTCCACAGCTTGGGCTATTCTAACACCATCACAATCATGGCTGGAACCCCATCTTTTAAAAGACCAGATCCCTTCTGTTTTGGCAGTCCTGATGTATCACTGCACAGGTCTCAGAGTCTTAGTCTGTCTTTGGGATGATGGGTCGGTTCACTGGTATCACAACTTCTGTCTTTCCAGAGTATTCAATTTTTCTCCCCTCCTCAATTTGCCAAATTTCCACTGTATTGTACTTTGTGCCAACTCTCATGCCTGTCTGAACCTGCCACTCAGCTTTGTAAATCGACAGAAAAGTATGTTTATCACAAAAAAAAAAAAAAAAAAAAAAAAAAGAGAGAGAAAAATTTGCCTTTCATCCACAAATCATGAGGAAGGAGCAATGCACGTCAGTGCTTTTGCCCAACTAACACAACAGAGGGTCTTTGAAATAATTAGCATGATGTTTCACAAATGACAGATGTTCTTTTATTTGGGTTAGTCAGCATTGAGTGTGAGCCTTCATAGATCTAAAACCCCAGCCAAGGCACACCAATTTGGAGAGCAGCAAAAAGTGATTGGATTAATGGCCGGTGAGCTGCTGCAACTCAGGACATTGCATTCCCCACAGCATGGCTATCTCTACTTTCTTTAAATTCTGTCTTCCTCCATTCTTGCAAAGTAGGTATTTATTATATGAAGGATCACTTACCTCCCACAAGAGATTCTTGGGTGTTTCCTGGAGTTAGATTTTTGGTGAAACTCAGTCAGCTTTGAATTGATTCCGCTAGAAGGAGTAACCCACAGGCTCAAGTAAATGATGTGATCAGAATGAAAAGGATTTTAATCTACTATAGGACATTAAGACTAATTTTTTACAATTCATTTAATTACATTTGCTTTATCTAATGCAATTAAAAGAGCAAAATTCTGTTGTCTTTTAACATTAAACTTTGTATTTGAGCAAAACAAAATCTTGTTAAATTTTAGGAAGAAAAAACAACATTCTATTTTCTAGAGGTGAAACAACTGTACAAATACTTGTTTTCTCAGATAATGTAAAGAATTGAGTACAGTCTGTTTCAGGGACTCCATGTCCCTCCCACTCTTGAGCTCAACAAGTGGCTGACTCATAGCTTTACGTTCACACGTAGTTTATGTTCAGAAAGCAGGATAAAACTGTGCAAAAAGCATTTATGAAAGTAATTTCATGTTCTAGGAAAGTTTACATGCATTGAAGTCAAGTTTCATTTGGAGCGTCAGATGGGATACTATTTAATCCAGATGTACATTCCTAGCCTGCTGATTGTCATTTTGTCCTGGGTTTCTTTCTGGATCAACATGGATGCTGCTCCAGCAAGAGTCGCATTGGGTATCACTACAGTTTTGACAATGACCACTCAAAGTTCAGGATCGAGAGCTTCCCTTCCAAAAGTAAGGCAATTATTTTGTACCACTGGTTTGTTATCGCCAAGAAAAATTACAGTAATTTTGAAGTTTCTCAACAATCTATGTAAGAATGTCTAATAAGAATAACTGAAAAAGTGCTGTTAATGTGACGCTAAACTGTTGCAATACCATTGCATTTGGATTAGAGTTTTCTGTTGGTTTATGGGATAGCCAGAGGCTATCCCAAAGCTATGGATTTTTAATGATTTACTGCTAGCTTTGTCACTTAGGTATCAGGATATAGAATAGACTTTCTGAAGTATCTAGGTACTTATCTGGATTTTTGAAATCACTTTCCTGAAAACTGAACATTTTATCTGGCTGGGGACTTTGTCTAATCTTTTCTGGACTGCTGGACTCCCAAATATCATGGCATGGTTAGTTATGAATCTCAATCAGATTGATATATAAACATACATACATATACATATAAAATACATATATGTGACATATATACACCTAAAAGATATCTCTGGACAGTATTTCAGAGAAGTCCTGATGTCTTTCTCTGCGTCGCAGTAGAATCAATCCATGTTCTTGTTCAAGTGATGCCTGCACTTCAGTCTACACACAAAAATATCCTCTCACTTGAATTTTGTGGTCTTTTTAATACAGAACAGCTGCTGTAGATGAGAATACAGATTACAGAATATATTATTTGATTAGACAACATAGAAACACTGTTCAGCATGGGCACATTTTAATGCTTCTGTCAATAGCATTCCCAGTGGAATTTATATTGCATGCTCAGGTTTTGTGCAGTTTTCTGGAAGAGAACTCATAGGTAGATCAGTTAACAATGGTCTGTGGAGTCATGAGGTATGATCCTCTTTTCAGCTGCCCAGAATCACAAGGACTGGGATCATAAAACTGTGCTAACTGTAAGGAAAGCACAAATGTTGAATGCTTGTATTGCATACGATCAATTCCAAAAGGCATGTTGTGTTTTTTCTGCTTTACCCTCTGTATCATATTCAGTCTAATTCCAAGTACTGTAGTTTGTTAAAATTGAGCATATATAGACCAGCTTTAAAAACTGCTCAGATTGTGTTACTCTTCTGTTGGTATAGAGAAAGTATCACTTAAAAATCCGGTGTCTACAACAGTTGGTTCAGCTTCACTTGTTCACTTGGAACTATGTATAATTTTCCATGAAAAACTAAAAATATTTTGTATGTTAACACCGAATTTCAAATTTAAACTTTCTTAACATTTGTTCTGTCAATATTACCAAATGAACACTCTGAGAAGAAAGTCAACAAAGATTGAATCTTGGCAAGAGCCATGCAGGATCTGTAGATAGCAAGCTCATAGTCACTGGAGACTGTGTCTAGATGGTACAACTTGATTCCGTTTCTTCCAAATATTATACATTCCAGCTTTCTTCCAAATTAACTGACTTGAGAATTAAAAGTGGTACAATCACTGTAGTGGAGCTTTCCACTCGCATTTCCAACAGAGAAAACATACCCTACTAAGAAGCTCTGCAGTGATAGCATATCCATAAAGATAATTTAGAAAGACTTTATCTTATGCCTTTGATCCAGATGAAACATTTATCCTTGCTGAATTCTGTCTTGTTTGAGTTGAAAAGCATTCTCTGGATAAGTTTCTGGGCTTCTGCTGAGTAGAAGAAATGTGAAGATCCAGAATATGTTGACTGTAGCAGTTTGATTATTGGAGATGTCCTTCTCTATCTTCAAAATTAAATAGATTTATCTCATCTGTCAGAGGTGACGTGTTGGCCCTATCCCATCCTCTCCTAGTTTTCTCTGCTGTTCCTTTGTCAGAAGACATTTACCCCATAAGAGAGCCCAGCACATTTATTTCACTGGGGCTGCACCTCATTATTGCATTTCCACTCTGTGAATTCAACCAAGCTGTGTCTGAAGAATCTTGGGACCGACATGAACCAACACTTCAAAATAAACTTTCTGTACACATTTAAGTAGAACACCCATGTCTGTATACAGGTCCCTGCTGTATACTGTCAGCAGTATCCAATTTCTTACAAAAGGAAGGAGAAAGTTTTTCTTGCTGTTGCTGTTGCAAGAACACAGCAATTTTAAAGCCCTATCTGTAGCTTAGTACAAAAATTGTATTTCTTAATAAAATCTGTCCAGCTAAAATGCATTTAGAAATAAAAATATGAAAATAATTACTTCAAAACAGTGTTGAATCTGAAGTCCCCAAATGGCTCCTTAAAAGCAGTGTTTATCTAAGTTCTGTCTACATACTGCCAAGACGCAGGAAGTTGGGCTGTCAATAAAACATTCATTTTAAAATTGCTCCAAGCATGAATATCTAAGAGAATCAGACATGACAGGATGGTTATTTTTGCAAGAGTACGGAAAAAACAGATGCAACTGCTCTGTGAGAACAGACTATATTTGATTACAAGAGCTGAGTTCTTCCCCATTCTACCTTGTGTCCTATTCTTATTAACACACAATTAACACATATTTATAGAACTTAAACTTACCCTTAATTTACTCACTGGCTCATGCCAACCTGATAAATTAAGGGTATTCTTTCTTCTTTCTTCTCAACTATTTTATTAGAACTTTACCAAAAATAAATAAGCAAATAACTAAAACAAAAGCAAAGCATCAACATCTACCAATTTTATGAGTAATTCCTTTATGTTGAAGAAAAAAAAAAGTGAAGAAGAATTGTGCTCAGAAGAATCCTAGTTAGTTTTTTTGGTCAGTTTCTGAGTTACTATCAAAATAACGCAAGTGGAACATTTTAGAAGTAATTACCCACACATTGTTCTCAACCTCAACATGACATGATGTGATAAAGTTCTACTTCCTTGAAATCGCTTTTTTTTCATATTAAAAACCAATATTCATTTTGATACACAGCTTTTCATAATGTTAGGTCACAGAAACATAGATATTAGGCTTCCAGATATTGAAAATTAAATGTAAGTTCAAGAATGCTGAAAAGAAAAGGAAAGAAACTGAAAGTTAATGAGAGAATGAAAATACAGGGGCGGCTCCGAATGTCACGCCTCCTGTTTTACTGTGTTGACTCATGATGTCAGAGGGAGATACTGGTGGTATGGCAGTAGAGGCTGAACTTTCCCAACAGTATCCCATTACATGTTGCTGCCATGTGAGAGATGCAGCAATCTTCCAAAATGGCATCTGACATGGAAGCAAAGGTGTGTCATTAAATTCTTGAAAAAATGGCACCCACTGACATTCATTGACACTTGCTGAACATTTCTGGAGACCAACCACTGAATGTGAGCACAGTGATGGATGGGCATTTCAGTGGTGGTGACAGTGGCAGTGGGTCATCTCCACTGGTACAGATTGTTACAAGTGTGGCATGCCTGTTCACTGGTGAAAATGCATAGCTCTTGATGGTGACTATGTTGAAAAACAGTGTTTTATATCTGAGAATTTTCTCTGTCAAGCAGTGTTATGGTACTCTTTTTAGCTGTTGTACTTTCCGTGGAAATAAATAGTACGCATTACTATCAGAGAAACTCATGTAACTCCAGCTGGTATTTGTGTTTGCACACACTGAAGAGAAAAATCTAGATAGCTTCTTTCAAATGAAATGTGATTATATTTCTTTGATAAATTTTCATAGTCCTTCTGTGCAGTTATTATCTTCATAGCGTTTATAATTCTGCCTACAAATACAGGGTCAAATTCTGATAACAACAAACTAGTGAAAAAATCACTATGTTGTTTTGTTGGTTTTTTTCATTTATTTTTCTACAGAGTTGATTTCTTTCTTAAAAAAGAAATAAAAGAAAGAAATAAATCATGCAAGAGTTTAGAGCCCCAGCAAACTACTAATGTAGGAGGCAAGAGCTGCAGTGCATGTTTCAGAAAACATAAATGTTCTTTTCTACTTTTTATCATAAGGTAAACAATATCAAGTTCTGTTTCCTTCATGGGGATGAAGTACTGATCTTCTATACAAAGAATAGCTGCAAAGAATCCTTCAGCACGGTCTCAACCTCTTTTATAGAAACTAAGTTATTGTGTGTTTATTACAGAAAACTGGTGAGTGTTCACATGGCCAGAATTACCATCAGTGGCCATGTTAAGAGGTGATAAGAAACTCATCTAGAAAACTGGGCTACTACCTTCCCTCCAATTGGTCAATCCAGTGCGCAGACAATCAGGAACACTGATCGAAAATGACATGGTTTCTCTGGCCAATTCTCCTTCCTCCAAATTCACATTTATAAGCCCTACCCACATCTGATAGTCTGTGTCTGGATTCCACTGTTCATGCCATCATTTTCCACCTAGAAATTTGGCGAGACTTATGTCTGTGCAGTAACTTTGGCTGCCTGACCAAATGAGCAAAAATCCTGGATGGTGGTGGTCAGCTTGGCTGTGTATTTGTATTCACAATGAAACTGAGAAACTCTGAGCTTTGTCTGCAAGTCCTATGCATGAGCCCTGGAGCTGCCTTGCATCTAAGTGCTTGCTGGACTTTACCTCTGCAAAAATAAATAAATAAATTAATTAAAAAAAATCTGCTATACATCCATGCAGAATTCTGCACATCCTTGAATATAGTGTTTTCTGGAAGTATCTGACTGCACAAACATGGCAGCTTGTATTTTTCAAAGCATGATCTGAAGAACTTCTGGGCATCACAAAACAGATCTGTAATATGCCGATGCTTTTTTTTTTCCTTTAATAGTCTCAGTAGTGTATGAGCTCTCAGAGTAAAGGGGAGCATATTGATATAGTAATCATAAAATTGGTGAGAAATATGAGAAAGTATCTTGTTTGTTTTTTTTTTTTCAGAGCATTAGATAACTATTCTCTTCCTATTCCATTTATTTTTAAACAGCTTTCCTTTTTTTGAATCTACAGAATCAAGAGTTTTAAAGAATTTAATTAAAAAAAGCATTGGAAACAATAAGTTCTCTGCTATGCTAGTAATTGGGTATTTTTCAAATTGCTTTCTTCTTAAAACACATGCATAAACCAAACTGTAGCATC